CTTTTGTCCCACTCCGTTCGGACGGCCAATGGTAAGCATTCTCACACATTCGCTCGACAATGTCTCGAGCGTCTGTGGGAGAGTTGTTTTGCAATGATCCACCTGAAGCAGCATCGACTAAAGATCGGGCTGGTTGATCGAGCCCATTGTAGAATAACTCCATTTGATCCCACGGGTTGAATCCGTGTTGAGGGCATTGTCGTAATAAGTCCTTGAATCTCTCCCAAGATTCGTGCATCGGCTCTTGGATCATCTGTCTGAAGTTGCCTACATCTCTTCGTAATTGTGCGGTCTTCGAGGGTGGAAAGAATCGTGCCAGAAAGGCTTGTGATAATTCTTCCCAACAGGTGAGTGATCCTGGATTAAGACTCAGAAGCCAACTCTTCGCTTTATCTCTGACAGAAAATGAGAATAGCTTCAACCGGATGGCATCATCAGAAACACCGTTAACTTTGATTGTGTCACAAATCTCCAAGAAATTGGCAAGATGGAGATTTGGATCTGCAGTGGCTGCTCCGGAGAATTGGTTCGCCATGACCATGTTGATTAGCCCCGTCTTTAGCTCGAAGTTGTTTGCGGCTATCGTCGGTTTCCTTATTCCCGAATAGTTCTCATTCACAGCTGGAGTTCGGTATTCTCGCATTGTTCGCTCGGGTGGCAGGTTCGGTCTTGGCTGCTCGTGATCTCGTCCTGGCTCTCGATCGTACTCAAAAGCCAGGTGCTCTGGATTTCCTTGATCTTCGGCCATTGGTTCACTTTGTTGGTTGCGCGTGGCCCTTAGTCTACGAAGTGTCTTTTCAATCTCGGGATCGTAAGGTATGATTTCCAAATTTCGACGCCTGGGCATAAACAAAGTGATCGGTTAATATCAAGGTACAAATCGAAAATTAAGCAGGTAAATAGCTAAAGTAATAGTCAGATAATTGGTAACACTATCAACAAAGATAAAATCAAATTGGTCCCCGGCAACGGCGCCAAAAACTTGATACGCGTTTTCCTCACGTATAAATTACCGCAAGTATACGGTATCGCATTTTGCAGAACAGTGGTTCCGGATATCGATCCACAGGGACCTTGTAGATTCAAATGCTGAGTAGTGTAATTATATTATCGTTATATTATCTAGCCGATCGTAAATAAGTGGATTGGTGATAAACCCTAATTTAAAAGCATGCAAGATCGTAAACATGCAAATATGGAATGTACGTAAATAAAGTACGACAACTCAACGCGGGGGGACTTCGATTTAAAGGGGACTTCTAGGGCCAAATCCACCTATGTATAATCAACAACGATCTACAACTCCGTTATCTAACGCCACATTCCTATTCGTTAACCCATACGCTAAAGTACTCTAACCCCCGTCTCCAGTGTAGTTAGAGTCTACCCACAGGTCCGACGTCTCCGTTCAGAACCTGCTATTAAGAGAGCATTTAGGCCAAGTCCTTAAGGGCTACCCGAAGTGCATCACGTCTCCGTTTCCACACCCCGAGCTATATTTTCCTAACTTCAAACAAGAAATCCTCTCTCGAGTTCATTCCTATTTAATATCAATCTGAGAGCTGATCAACACAATCAGAAGCATTTAATACAGGAAAACATAAACGAAATCAAAACACGACAAATAGATAACAGAAATGACGATCGAAATCAATATATACAAGGCTTCATTGCCCTAGAAGAAAATGTTCTTAGTTCATAACAAACATAGTATCAAAAGAATGTACTAAGGAAATGAAGAACAAAACGTAAAGAAATTGCGTAAGAAAAACCCAAGTCGAAACCCCCGTTGATGATTCCCGCGAAGAACCGTCGAAAACCGTAAAAAGTCGAAGAAGTCCAGAAGAATGAGGGTTGACTTCTATTTATAGTAAGGCAAAGCTTCTTGAGGAAGCTTTGCCTTTTTAGATATTTTTTACACATCCCGAGGCCCATATCGCGATATGCGTAGTCATATCGGGCGATATGGTAAAATTGCAAGCTCTCTGTTTCGTTTCTCCCCATATCGCGATATGGAATGGCATATCGCGCGATATGGCAAAAATGCAAGCTCTCTGTTTCATTTTCTCCCATATCGCGATATGGTAGGTAATATCGCGATATGGTCACTGCAATAACTTCAAACTCTGTTTTGACCCTTTTGTAGCCCGAATTTGACAATTTTGCATTTCACAAAAGTTGTAGCCCTTGCAGTTGGCTTTCTAAATCCACTTGAATCAGCTCAATCGGAGGTCGTATGAAGAAGTTATGCGTAAAATACCGAAGGCTGCCACCATCCACTTGATTGCAATTTTTGCTCTTGTTTGACTTGATTCTCGGCTTCGCTTTCAAAATCGTTTCGAATCGGCAACAATATCTAACAAAACCTATAAATAGAAATAAAACAAGAAACGCAATAATATATACAAATAACGCCGAAACTCGGACGAATGAAGACCAAAACTCGAAGATTCGATAAGCAAAAATCGTGCAAAACGAATACTTATCAGTATCTTTCAAGCGAGAGTTTTTGTGCACGTTTCTTGATGCACATTCATGTCCTTGAACTGTAGTTCGTATTTTCATGATCGCTTTTGGAATCCAATTTTGACCATGTTCGAGTCCGAATTTGGATTTTTCACGTTAGACAGGAATTGTAGCCAGCTGAAATAGCTTTCTAATGCCGCCGGAACCAGTTGATTTGGAGTCCGGATGAGAATGTTATGCAAGACTTTGTTGACGTACACTACCAAAGATGTTGAGGGATTCTCTCTTCTAATTTTATTTTATTTTCCTAATTGCAACTCTTTTCTTACCCTTTGATCATTTTTGCTTCATGGACACCTAATTTCCGATTTGTACCTATAAGATACCAAATCGACCAATTCAAACAGAAAATAAATTAATCCAAAAAAAAAAAAATCCACGTAAACGTAAACGTAAAGTTTTATTTCTACACTTGTATCATTTTTATCTAGTGTTTTTGCTGTTGTTTGTTGATCTGTATTAAAGTCCTAGTATTGTAGTTCGTGTTTTTAAGAACGTTGTTTCGAATGCACTTTTACGCATGTTTTTTTACATGTACGTTTGTGCATGTCCATTTGAGCGTGTGTGCTTGTGCATGTTTGTTGATTTGTATTAATGTCCTAGGATGTAGTTTGTTTTTTCATGATCCTTTTCGCGAATACACTTTTGCATGAATACTTTTATGCATGCTTTTGTACACTTACTTATGTGCGTATCTTTCTAGCGAGAGTTTTTGTGCACGTTTCTAGATGCGCATTCATGTCCTCGAACTTTAGTACGTATTTTCATGATCGCTTTTGGAATCCAATTTTGACCATGTTCGAGTCCGAATTTGGATTTTTCACGTTAGACAGGAATTGTAGACAGCTGAAATAGCTTCCTTATGCCGCCGGAACCAGTTGATTTGGAGTTCGGATGAGAAAGTTATGCTCGACTTCGTGGACGTACACTACCATAGATGTTTAGGGATTCTCTCTTCTAATTTGATTTTATTTTCCTAATTGCAACCCTTTTATTTCTCTTTGATCGATTTTGCTTCCGGGACACCTAATTTTCGATTTGTACCTGTAAGATTCCAAATCCACCAATTCAAACAGAAAATAAATTAATTAAAAAAAAAAAATCCCTGTAAACGTAAACGTAGAGTTTTATTTCTACACTCCACTATATCATTTTTATCTAGTGTTTTTGCTATTTTTTGTTGATGCGTATTAAATTCCTAGTATTGTAGTTCGTGTTTTTAAGAACGTTGTTGCGAATGCACTTTTGCGCATGTTTTTTTACATGTACGTTTGTGCATGTCCATTTGAGCGAGTGTGATTGTGCATATTTGTTGATTTGTATTAATGTCCTAGGATTGTAGTTTGTGTTTTCATGATCCTTTTTGCGAATGCACTTTTGTGTGAATACTTTTGTGCATGCTTTTGTACACTTACTTATGTGCGTATCTTTCTAGCGAGAGTTTTTGTGCACGTTTCTTGATGCGCATTCATGTCCTCGAACTGTAGTACGTATTTTCATGATCGCTTTTGGAATCATATTTTGACCATGTTCGAGTAAGAATTTGGATTTTTCACGTTAGACAGGAATTGTAGACAGCTGAAATAGGTTTCTAATGCTGGCGGAACCAGTTGATTTGGAGTCCGGATGAGAAAGTTATGCTCGACTTCGTGGACGTACATTACCAAAGATGTTTAGGGATTCTCTCTTCTAATTTGATTTTATTTTCCTAATTGCAACTCTTTTCTTTCTCTATGATCACTTTTGCTTCGTGGACACCTAATTTTCGATTTGTACCTATAAGATTCCAAATCCACCAATTCAAACAGAAAATAAAATAATCCAAAAAAACAATCCACGTAAACGTAAACGTAGAGTTTTATTTCTACACTCCACTATATCATTTTTATCTAGTGTTTTTGCTATTGTCTGTTGATGCGTATTAAAGTCCTAGTATTGTAGTTCGTGTTTTTCAGACCGTTGTTGCGAATGCACTTTTGCGCATGTTTTTTTACATGTACGTTTGTGCAAGTCCATTTGTGCGAGTGTGCTTGTGCATATTTGTTGATTTGTATTAATGTCCCAGGATTGTAGTTTGTGTTTTCATGATCCTTTTTGCGAATGCACTTTTGTGTGAGTACTTTTGTGCATGCTTTTGTACACTTACTTATGTGCGTATCTTTCTAGCGAGAGTTTTTGTGCACGTTTCTTGATGCGCATTCATGTCCTCGAACTGTAGTACGTATTTTCATGATCGCTTTTGGAATCCAATTTTGACCATGTTCGAGTCCGAATTTGGATTTTTCACGTTAGACAGGAATTGTAGCCAGCTGAAATAGCTTTCTAATGCCGCCAGAACCAGTTGATTTGGAGTCCGGATGAGAAAGTTATGCTCGACTTCGTTGACGTACACTACCAAAGATGTTGAGGGATTCTCTCTTCTAATTTTATTTTATTTTCCTAATTGCAACTCTTTTCTTACCCTTTGATCATTTTTGCTTCATGGACACCTAATTTCCGATTTGTACCTATAAGATACCAAATCCACCAATTCAAACAGAAAATAAATTAATCCAAAAAAAAAAAAATCTACGTAAACGTAAACGTAAAGTTTTATTTCTACACTTGTATCATTTTTATCTAGTGTTTTTGCTGTGGTTTGTTGATCTGTATTAAAGTCCTAGTATTGTAGTTCGTGTTTTTAAGAACGTTGTTTCGAATGCACTTTTGCGCATGTTTTTTTACATGTACGTTTGTGCATGTCCATTTGAGCGTGTGTGCTTGTGCATGTTTGTTGATTTGTATTAATGTCCTAGGATGTAGTTGGTGTTTTCATGATCCTTTTCGCGAATACACTTTTGCGTGAGTACTTTTATGCATGCTTTTGTAAACTTACTTATGTGTGTATCTTTCTAGCGCGAGTTTTTGTGCACGTTTCTTGATGCGCATTCATGTCCTCGAACTTTAGTACGTATTTTCATGATCGCTTTTGGAATCCAATTTTGACCATGTTCGAGTCCGAATTTGGATTTTTCACGTTAGACAGGAATTGTAAACAGCTGAAACAGCTTCCTTATGCCGCCGGAACCAGGTTATTTGGAGTCCGGATGAGAAAGTTATGCTCGACTTCGTGGACGTACACTACCATAGATGTTTAGGGATTCTCTCTTCTAATTTGATTTTATTTTCCTAATTGCAACTCTTTTATTTCTCTTTGATCGATTTTGCTTCCTGGACACCTAA